CACACTAGCCTGCCCCTCCTGCAGGTTTGGACACACACTAGCCTGCCCCTCCTGCAGGTTTGGACACACACTAGCCTGCCCCTCCTGCAGGTTTGGACACACACTAGCCTGCCCCTCCTGCAGGTTTGGACACACACTAGCCTGCCCCTCCTGCAGGTTTGGACACACACTAGCCTGCCCCTCCTGCAGGTTTGGACACACACTAGCCTGCCCCTTCCTGCAGGTTTGGACACACACTAGCCTGCCCCTCCTGCAGGTTTGGACACACACTAGCCTGCCCCTCCTGCAGGTTTGGACACACACTAGCCTGCCCCTCCTGCAGGTTTGGACACACACTAGCCTGCCCCTTCCTGCAGGTTTGGACACACACTAGCCTGCCCCTCCTGCAGGTTTGGACACACACTAGCCTTCCCCCTCCTGCAGGTTTGGACACACACTAGCCTTCCCCTCCTGCAGGTTTGGACACACACTAGCCTGCCCCCTCCTGCAGGTTTGGACACACACTAGCCTGCCCCTCCTGCAGGTTTGGACACACACTAGCCTGCCCCTCCTGCAGGTTTGGACACACACTAGCCTGCCCCTCCTGCAGGTTTGGACACACACTAGCCTTCCCCCTCCTGCAAAGCCAAGCCATTTCACAAGACGACTTGCCCATTATGTCCCACAGACGGTTTAAGTTGGCTCACCCCATGATGCTGTGGCTCTCATCCAAATAGACTCTTAGACTCTTAGATATGGCCACCCCTTGGGGTAGCAGCCCTAATGCCACGTCTGCCCTGTGGCACACCTCCATTCCCAAGTCTTCTTTGCCCACTTTAAATGACTCCTGGATGATCTTTGTGCTATGTGTCTCTGAAACCAAACCTCAGAATCATGGTCCTCCATCAGCTCAATGCTGTGTATGACCTGGGCCACTTTGGTCTCCTCAGCAAGAAGCAGGTCCCAGTCCTCTGGGAATCCATAGCCACTCTGACTGGGCCTGAGAGAGATGCTGTCTTTAGGCTGAGGCAGCATAGAGGCCATTGTCACTCTCCCCACAGGTGGCTCTCGCTGCACAGTCCCTGCCATTAAAGCTTTTAAAAAACAATCCTAACTGGGTGTGGTGGTGGACGCCTTTCATCCCAGCACTCAGAGGCAGATGCAGGCAGGTCTCTGTGAGATCGAGTAAGGCCAGTCTGGTCTTCACAGCATGTTCCAGGACAGCCAGAGCTAGATAGTGAGAGTTTGCCTCAAAAAACAGAAAGCAAGAAAGGAAGGGAGGGAGGGAGGAAGGGAGGGAGGGAGAGACAGACAGAGAGAGGAAGAGAGAGAGGAAGAAAGGGAGGGAAGGAGGGAGAGAGAGAGAGAGACAGACAGAGACACATACACACACACACACACAGAGAGAGAGAGAGAGAGAGAGAGAGAGAGAGAGAGAGAGAGAGAGAGAGAGAGAGAGAGAATGAATCCCTCATGCTCTGCCGTCTCCATCGTGTTTGTCATACGATGAGGGCCCAGGAGCAGTTTCACTGACTTTCTGCCCATCCATCTGGAAAAGCTGTGCATGACCCAGTACCTCCTTCGGGAAGCAGCATCCTCTGCAGCCTGAGGCCAGGACTAGACTCTCCAACTTGCTTTCCCTTTCTTGCCACACAGATCTCTCGCTCCTCCAGCAAGTAATACCACCCGGGGGGACAGGGACTTAGACTTCTGTGCGTCCCCACAGAAATCATTGCTGGCACTGGAATTGCCCCCGCACAGTCACACACCACACCCTGTGGATTTGTCTTCTTACTCCACTTACGTCTTGAGGCGTCTCATCCCTGTCCCTGTGTACCATTGCTACATCAATTACTGCTCCATCCCCACAGGCCTAGCCACCAGCAGGAGCCTCCTGAAGGGACATGGCCACATCCTCACCCTCACTCTGGTCCTCAGTGATCCTACAGTTCACAATGCAACCAGGGTGAGCTTTTCCAGAGCCAACCTGATGGTGTCCTCTTTCCGTCAAACACCAACCAACTCCAAGAGTCTTAGTCGCCACTGTGAACACTGCACACTCATTCACCTCAGCGTCTTTCTCTGTCCAGATCCTCAGTTTTACCCCCAGCCCCTTGTGCTCTTTCCCTTTCCTGGGTCCTAAACTCTTTCCAGCCAGGTGCAGAATTGCTTCTACTATTAAATCCCACTTAGAGAGCTCTCCATGGTGCTGCCTGGAGGAGGCTTGCAGGGCTCTAGGCTCCTCTATGAGACCATGTTGCATTTCAAAATCATTAAAGAGTCTGGCCCAGTGCTCAGAAAGCATTTGTTGAAGCCTATTGATGGAGGTCACATCTTTAATCCCAGCACTCGGAAGGCAGAGGCAGGAAGATGTCTGTGAGTTTGAGGCCAGCCTGGTTTACAGAGAGAGTTCCAGGACAGGCTCCAAAGCTACAGAGAAACCCTGTCTCAAAAAACAAAAAAAAAGAAAAAAAAGAAAAAAAGAAAGTCCTTGTTGGATGAATTACATAACAAACAGTATGCACCTCATAAATAATAGTAAATAAATAAATGAAATATGACCACCTCCATCCATCTTTAGATCATTCACATATTCGTTTATTCAAAAGTTTTATGGAAATCTGTATTACCATGAGAACACTTGTTCTTCAGCTGGTGGGGCTATTTAGGAAGTGGGGTCTAGCTGGCAGAAGTAGGTCACCAGAAGTGGACCTTTGAAACTTATATCCAGCGCCTGGTTCCAGCCTAGAAGCCTATTGCCATGACCTGGGCTACTCCTCAGTGCACCGTGCTGATAAGGCTACTCCTCAGTGCTTACACTCTCTGCCATAATGGATTGAAAGCCTCTGAAACTGTGAGCTAATGTGAATCTCTGCTTTAAAAATGTTTCTGTTGGCTGTTGTGGTAAGTAACACACCCTCTCCTCAAAGAACAGCAAACATGCTTCGCCCTCCCCAAGTATATTAAAAGGCATTGCCTAGGTCTCAGGGAGGACCCTTGGTAGAGGCAGATTGATATAAGGCTTTCTCAGAGGCCCTGATGAAAGGAAAAAGGGAGTGTTAGTTCTGTGTCCTCCCTTGTCCAGGAGCTGACTGAGCAAAGTCTAGTCTGGGGGTTGGAGTCAAGGGTCTCAGAAAAGTTAGGATTTCAGTTCCTGGGAACCCAGCTTTCCCCACTGAAGGACTGTGCTTACCAACCCCAGGCAGCTGTGTCTGAGGTACCCTGTGCTCTCTGCTCACCTTGGCTCATTATACCCTTGCACACAGTAAACAAGATGTTTCTTAATAAGCTTGTTTGACATAAAACATCAGCTTATGCAAGACCTCGCAGTCCCAGCTGTCTGTTCTTCCTTATTTCTCGTCCTCACCCTCAACCCCTCATCATTTGAGACCCATATTCCTGTGGGTTTGGATCAGCCCCTCCGAGAGCATCCTGACAGTTTATAAGTGTCATAACGAAACACTTAAATGTCTACTGCCAACAGCTGTCATCAAGTTTGTCTGAAAGAGAAAGGAGTCTTCCTCTTTGGAAGGTGGAAGCTGGCAAGTGATCTGTGATTCATGCTCAACAGGAGACCAGGCTTAAACAGCTGCAAAGAGGGAACAGTAGAAATGTGTTCTACTGTTGATAGTGAGCTAGGGACATGAAGAGAACTAGAGAAGGAACAGGCTGAAGGGATGGGTGAGAAAGGTAAGAGTGTCCATGTTGAAAGGTCAACCAATGGCTGGACAGCCCCCCTGGGAGGCTGCCCATGTCGAAGTGATTTCCATCCATCCCCTGTTATTTCCCATCTGGGAGCCCCTGGTATAAGGTGACCATCAGATACCATGGAAAGAACTATGTTCAACACCTGGATGGTCAACACATACAAAACAGAAATAACCCCACAGCAGGAATCTGAAGGCAGAGGAAGGTAAGCAGACCAAGTGGCTTGCATGAACCTCAGACACATCTTTATGTAATTCTATTAGAGGCACACTCAAGAAATTGGTGTTAAAAGTTTTGTTCTCATTATTTTATGAGGGTAATCAACATTCCAAGAGCTCCGATTCCAATTCAGCCTTCATGCCACTTTGCTAAAGAGGCGGAGCTGTAAATTTGGTCCTGTAATAGGGACTTAGAGGTTGCCTTTGATAAAACACCATCTCTCCACTTGGACCTGCAGATGCCCGGTGTGTGACTGAAAGCAGAGTGAGAGCTTGGCATCTCTGCCTTCACTTTGTTTCTGTCTCCTTTGGATCAATTCCTGCTCGTCTATAGATAGTCATGTTCATGACTTAGGAGTACTTGTCTGTAGCCATAGGAATAGGTTAGCCCTCTATCTGACCTAGCTCATCCCTTTTAGGATTGAAAGCATCCATACAAGAATGACGAGGAAGTTACTGCCAACTTTTAAAACATCTTTTTCCAGATCCTGGAATGGCACCTGAGTTCCTATTAATTGTTCTAGACCTGGATCTCCTTGGATTTCAGGGACAGTGGATCTCGCAGGCGGATGACCAGTGATCAGACTGCCCCATAAGTGGAAACAGTTACCCCTAAAGGGGCCATTACCCCTCCAGCTTCCCACCCCTAAACAGAATCAACTCAAAATGAGAGCAGAGTTTCCCCCTGTGCAGTGACAGTGGTCACATTTCCCCCTGTGCAGTGACAGTGGTCACATTCCCCCCTGTGCAGTGACAGTGGTCACATTTCCTCCCCTGTGCAGTGACAGTGGTCGCATTCCCCCCTGTGCAGTGACAGTGGTCACATTTCCCCCTGTGCAGTGACAGTGGTCACATTCCCCCCTGTGCAGTGACAGTGGTCACATTTCCCCTTGTGCAGTGACAGTGGTCACATTCCCCCTTGTGCAGTGACAGTGGTCACATTCCCCCCTTGTGCAGTGACAGTGGTCACATTTCCCCTTGTGCAGTGACAGTGGTCACATTCCCCCTGTGCAGTGACAGTGGTCAAATTCCCCGCTGTACAGTGACAGTGGTCACATTCCCCCTTGTGCAGACACAGCCAGGCTTAGCCAAATGGACCATTGGACTGGTTTTATTGGGCAGAAATAGAAGGTCCTTCAAACGTAGTGACAGACACAAAGTACCCTGATGATAATTTTAGGTCTGGTCACAACCGTCACTTTAGAATCACTACCTAGAGATAGTCACATGCAGCTAGAATCATGCTGCCAGCGTTTGTGGGAACAAATTTTCCACAACAATTAAAAACAGTCAGGCTAGAGAAAGTCTCCAAATGGCAGAGCATTTCTCTCCAGGGCTAAAGTTCTTCTCCACAACCCAGCAAATGCTGCCTCCTCCAAGGGAGAAGCTCACCTGTACCACACAGTGTGGTGTGGCTTTGGGATTGAAAAAAAGCAAAGGAGAGAAGACTGTATCAGGGAATTGGTGTCAGCCACTCAAGGACAAACCAGTGCTACCAAATGTTAGGGACAGACTCATAAAGTTTCCTCTGGGAAATGGTCATCATCCCAGGGGAAGACCCACCAGGTATCGATGACAAGTACCTGAGGGCAAGTGAGTGGCTTACATAGTTCCTCTGAAGGTCCCAGCATCAGTCCTAGCTTTATTTAGGGAGGTAGCAATGATGATCTCAGATGAACTACCAGGCAACCCACAAGGAGCACCCATTTTAAAAGAAAAAATAGCTGTTCTGCAGTTCAGACAATATGACAATTAACATGTACATGGCTTCCTATAGAAAGGTCACTCAGGTTCACCGAGGCACTACCTCATCTTTAAATCACGTGTGCAGAACATGGGCGCCCCAGAAAAGGCTGGCTGTGTCACAGTGACCTTGCTCAGTGATCAGCAGGAGCATGCGATGGCTAGCTCTTTAAATCACGTGTGCAGAACATGGGCGCCCCAGAAAAGACTGGCTGTGTCACAGTGACCTTTCTCAGTGATCATCAGGGGCATGTGATGGCTAGCGTTGGGGAGGCTGGAAGGAACTGCCACTAGGACCCAATGCCTCTTCTGCATGGCCACAGCTTGAGGGCTGGCAGTGCTGGACCCATGTCCATTCCCTCCACACTCATTTTGTCCAGACCTGTGGCCTTCGTGGCCACTCAGGCGGCTGGTTCCAGTGTTCTTCACAGTGGAGTAAACACCAAAGCACCTTCTACATAGATGCTAGGCAAGGGTAAAAGGGTAAAAGCCAGGCCTGGATCAGACACCAGATCATCAGGCTTCCCTCCCCCCTCCATGGCAGGTAGAACACCACCACAGGGGCTTTTGTAAAAGGCCACTGACACCTCCTCCTGCCTCAGAGCCTCCTGCCTGGGGAAAACATGGGTATCCAATAGGCATCTTCCATCACCAATGACCTGGGGTTTGTCTTAGCATCTTCCCAGGAGACATCCAGGGTTAATGAGAATAGATGGCAGACATATTTAGGAGGCGAAAAGTTTCGGCTGTGGAGAAGAGCAGTCTTGTGCTTAAGTCTGGAAACCCACACAGTATCCGGGGTGTAACTTAGTGGAGAATGTTTACCCATCATGCATATGAGGCCCTCGGTTCCATCTCTTGTGCAAGAAAGAAGAGGGGGAAAAAGAGAAACAAAGGCCTGAGTTACCAAGATGGTTTCCAGGTGATCATGCTGTCTAACAAGGAAGCCACAAGTAGAAAGGTATATCCGCAAGAGGTTGTACTCATGGCTGTGGGGCAAGGTTCTCTCCTCCTGCCCCTCTGTGTCTCTGTCTCTCTCCCTCTCCCCCTCTCTCTCTCTGTCTCTTTCTCCCTGAAAGAGGGCAGGGTGGTAGCAAAAGGGAATTATCAAGTCAGATGAAAGTCTAAATGAGGGATTTGCTCACCTCAGAGAGTGAAAGCTTCACTTACAGGAACATCAAGAAACCTGAGGAGCGATGTCCTAAGCACCAAGATTTCTACATAGACCTTTTTATATGTGGTCTCCAAGGATGGGCAAACACCTAAAGTACGATGCCTCTCTGCCTTTGAAACCCAGTAGACTGGCGCTGTTCAGGGGTTTCCATGTCTCTGTCTCTGGATGTCCAGGATGGAGGAACCTGAAGCTGTCTTGCCCTTGGGCTTATTACAGCACACGTAATTGCCCCTTGACCAAGAGGCTTCATGTCACCTAATGACTTCTGAGCCTTGTAGATTTGGTCCTTGCTCTCAGGCTGCTGGCAGTCACTTCCTGCTTTACCCAGAACCTGTCACTACCTTTAATCTGTTAGAAACCAGACCTGTGCTCACTAGATCAAAGCAAATGTCGTGGATGGCTTGCCTTTTGCAAAAGAACTGTTGAGATATGGTTTACAGCATCTATTTCTGTGACTCAGAACTCATTCTCCATCCATCAGCGCAGGTCTTGGCTACCAGGGACCGAGGGACCATTCTGGGAAGTAGTGAGGGCAAGTGAGGTGAATTTCAATGAAATAACAACCATTCTCTCATTTATGGAGCTTTCAGGATCTCTGGGGCTTTGTGAACTTTGTGGATGAGTATGGATGTCTAAGTAACCATGGGAACACCTTCAGAGGGAACAACAGAGTCTGTCTCTGGTCAAAGGGAGATGTCGAGGCATATCTGAGTTCTAACTAACTGGTTCCTACCTAGGCCTTTTCCAAATGCGGAGAAAAAGGATGAGAATAAGAAAGGAGCCTGCTGTAGCCTTCCTTGCTGAGGCATGACTTCAGGGTACCATCTTCCAAGTTTGCTGGAGCAACTGTGGTAAGTGAGCAGAGGCATGGGCCTGAATCAAGTAAGTAAGTACTTCCTGTGCTACAGGGTGTGGTGTGATGTTTGGGTTCCACCCTGGCACCAACCACAGAGTGACTTTTGCACAGATCCCAAGCTCCAGAACTACTAGCCCCTTAGTTCTGATTATAAAATATACCCCAATCCTAAATGTAGATGGTTTTTTAATTAAGACAAGCTGAGTCTAAATCCTAGAAGTCTGTTACTTTGCCTTGAAAAATATTTCATGGTGTTCTTTTTCAATGCTCAAAATATTCAGATGAATAAAAGCTGGTGGTACTTTAAAAATGTTTCACACCTGAATCAGATGGCTCTAGAGCAACCCACCCACCAGAGACAAAAAGAATGCAACAGTGGTGGTGGTGCAGGTGCACACCTTTAATCCCAGCACTCGGGAGGCAGAGGCAGATGGATCTTTGTGAGTTCGAGACCAGCCTGGTCTACAGAGTGAGTGCCAGGACAGCCTCCAAAGCTACACAGAGAAACCCTGTCTCAAAAAAAAAAACCAGAAAATGCAACAGATCATGGCCACAAACCAAATGACTATCCAGGACAGTGGTCCCCAAGTGGAGTTCTAGGTCAGTTTCAGCATGTTCCAGGACACCAGAAGAGCTTGAAACCCTAGTAGCTCAGGTCCCATCCCAGATACATCACATAGAAATGCCATGGGTTAGGAGGGGCCCAGGGATTTCAGAAACCTCTTCAGATGACCCCCATGAGCCAGACAGGATCAAAATCACTGCCTCACGATAGCATGGTGGCTCTCGACCACTTGGGAAAATCTTGGAGGGATCCTGGGACCTTTCCTCTAGCCTGCTGCAGTTGCCTCTGGGAAGACAAGGATATGACAGCAGGATCACTTAATATACAACTCCAGGAAATCCTCCTGTGCATGAGGTTTGAGAGCCACAGTTTGGAAGGAGACATAATGCCTATCCCAAAGCTGTGGAATGACCTCAGGGCAAAGAGCCATCTCCTCCATAGGAGGAGGCAGCCACTGGCTTCTGGATGCTGTAGTCAGGTTAGGTTATGATTGTGGTTATTTTTTCCTTTTGTCTTTGAAATGGGAAAATGTTTACAAGAGATCATGCAAGAGAAAATAGAAACAGACTAGCGAACCAGTCACTAAGCTCATGGGTCAGGCAGGACAGCCAGGCTCACTGGTAAAGCAAGGTCATGTCTGCACTTTCTGCCAGCAAAGGGCTCAAATCATCAGACAAGTATCAGATGGTTCCATTTATGTGAAGGCCTTAGAACAGCCAGATTCAGAGAGAGAGAGAAAAGGGCAGATTGTGATGGGCGGGATGTGGGGTGCGTTATCATGTCACTGGTTTCGAGTTTTCATTTTGCAAAATAAGAAACCTAGAGGTTAGTGGCACAGTGCAAATACTTAAGTTTTGTTTTAAGTTCACTTTTAAAATTTAAGACAGTGTCTCTACATCCAAGGCTGGCCTTGAACATGCTATGTAGCCCAAACTAGACTCCATCTCCAGTCATCCTGCCTCTGATTCATGAGTACTGCAATTACGAATCCTGGGATTACAGGCACCAATCATGGATGTTCTTAACTCTACTGTGTGGCTTTGTGTTGGTGCCAGGGGCACGAAGCTGAGTGTCCACAGAGGGTCGGGGACACTTAGCTGTGTGCTCTGAGCATAGTCTAATGGAAGTCAGTGATGGTTGCCACAGACTCACAGAGGGGAGAGTGTGTGACCCACTCTATAGAGGAGATGTGCAGGAGTCATAGCCTGACATCATTTGCAAAAGTGACCAGATAGGAAGAGTGGGGAGAGGGGCAGAGGAATGGGGTCATTCCAGGCATCTGAACCTCTTGCACACAAGCACAGGAGTAATATAAGAAGGGAGGCCCACAGAGGCGGGAGGTCTCTAGAAAGAGAGAGAGCCTGCTTTGTGACATGGCCAGTGTGACTTGAGTAAGAAAACAAAAGAAACAAAACAAAAAAACCAAAAACTTGGGCTTTGTGGTACCAGCAACAATGGACCTCACAAAAGGTATTTGGGGATGCTTATTCTCAGAATATATGAGGATCTCTCAAAAGCTCAAGGTATGGCCAAGGCAGAGGCAAGTACAGGGAGTGAATGAACTTAAGGGATATTTATGTTGGAATTAGGAACCAATAAACAGAGTGTGAAGAATGAAAATATCTGGGCAGAGACAGCCTGAGCTTGCCCAGTGTTTGTGCTGGCACTGTGCCAAGCATGTTAGGTAATCCTAGAAACACCAGAGACCTGAGGTTCTTGTCTGGTTTAGATGACGAATCAAAGCCTCCAGGGGCTTCAGGGACTCCCCAAGGTCGCAAGTCTACTAAACGGTGGAAGACACCCTGAGTCCAGACTCTTCTACCTACATCAGTGCAGGACAGTCAGGCTGAGGCCTGAGATGCCATGTGGAGGCAGACAGGAGGGCTAGCCTGCAGGTGGGGACAGCAAGGATTGGTGACTCTCGGGAGATGTGGTCTCAGCAGAAGTGCTGCTGTTTAGAAAGCCCCGGGAAAGTGTCACCAAGGGTGAGTGATGGAGAACCCGCAGAGAGACACTAAGAGGCTGGGCTATGTCCTAAAGAACAGAGCAGGAAAGAAGAGGGGACCTGGGGCCGACCTTGTCAAGTGTTACATGACTGTCAAGGATGAGACTAAGGCAGAGGTCTCTTTGGCAATGTATGCTGCTAACCTTCAGGACCCAGATTTGACCTTTCTGTCCTTCCTCCTTTTTTCCCTCCTTCTCTCCCTGATAACTGGGAACATGGTCTTGAAAGCCATACACACAGCTCCTGTGAGTGCTTGAGATGGGCTTCTTTTAGCATTGGTGCATCCACTTCTGGTCAGTACCAGAAGGGCATCTTCAACCCTCACATCTCCCCTGGCACAAGGAGCACACAGCAACACATGGCTGAAGTCAATAGGAAGTTCTGCAGCCTCTGCTTACTTCCCAGACTCAGGATATATAGAGTTGTTCCACGCATCTCCAAGTGTGAGCAGAAATATGGTAGCAGCAGCATTAGAAGATTCCAGAATGTAGCCTGACCTTGAGCCTCCTCCCTTTCTGCCTGCCTAAGCCCTGAGTCACCTACGTGGTGCTGCTGCTGCTACTGCTGCTACTGCTACTGCTGCTGCCACCTTTCAAGACTAGAGATGCATTTAACACAAAGGAGACACGATATCAGCTTGGTTCTTAGGGGAATGGATGTCTCTAAATTAGAATTTAACTCATAGTCTGTATTGAGTGATGTGATGGGGCAGAGAGGTCCCCAAATCAATATCCAGGTCTCTCTAGGCCTTTGATAAATATTACACATACAGCAGAAAGCATGTGGTCTGAAAGTCAAGAGGCTGGGTGAGGCTCAGGTGAGCCTCTTGCTTGCCATAGGTGACTGGGGCAAGTCACTCATGCTGTCACTTAGCATGGACCCTTTTCAAGCGTTTCTCCTTGCTCCAAATATAGAGATCCCTTTAGTTCTCCTCCAGGGCAACTGCATGACTGGTATAGAGGTTGGAGCTGGAGAGAGGCGCTGGCAAGCAGAGGCTACCTCCGGGGCCCCAGGTTTGGAGTGCAGTCCGGAGAGTTCTGCAGAGCCCTGCCCTGGAGGTCTGGCCATGAGCAAGTGCCTGAGTTGTGAAGTCTCAGGCTTCACCTGTACCATAATAGCCTCTTTACCTGAAGGGGTCTTGTGGTGATGACAGGATAGGGTGGCAAATGGGGAAAGTAGGCAGTATAGGGCTGCCACAGGGTTGTATAATGACACAGCAGTTTTAATAGTAAACACTATTTCTGGGTTAGATCCACACATTGTGGGTGTCCCCCCAGCTGTCACTGTAGACAGCCTATGAGTCCTTTCTAAGCCTTTATTTGAAGAGATAAGGAAACTGACACCCTGAGGGACAGAAGGACTCTGCCTTGAAATCCACAGGCAGAGTACCACCAAAAGCCAGGAGGATGGCCTAAGGCCCTCATATATGGTCATGGGATGGATCTAGATGTGCTATTCCCAGTTTCTGTGGGGGCTCCTGCTAGGTCAGGTTCTAAGCACTCTCAGCTAGGAAGATCCTGGTGTCTGGCCAGGCTATTGCCCACCTGCAATACACCTATTCCCCAGGTACAGGGCTTTGTCCCTGGCAGATATTCTGACCACTGACGTCACTTCTTTAGGCATGTCTCCTTAAGTGGGACAAATCTGTCTTGGTGAACCTTGCAGTTCTGACATTACATGGTTTTAAGAACTGGATTTGGTTAGGTGTGGATTCAGTTCATTTGGATCATTCTCAGAACTCCCTCCTTGGCAGAAATAGCCAGAGTCCAGAAAGCCATAAGCATTCCTGTCCTTGTGTGGTGGCTCCTGGTTTACCAATGTGTGTGGTCCTGTGTGCTTCTGCAGCTGCTCCGTGACCTTACATCCCTGCAGGGCATCCCGGGCCTCCACAGTCAGTCGGAACTCAGAAAGACAGTACTCAGACAGCTGGGTGTGCAATGAGCTCTGGGCACCTACAGGCCAGAGCCCAGAGGAAGCAGGCTCAGAAAGTCCTCAGAGGAGGAAGCTCAAGCAGGCCATAAGCCTGGGCCAGCTGTCTCCTCAGCCGGGTCTGTCCTGATTCCTACAGAGTGAGGTCGTGTGAATGGCTTGGGTGTGGCTTTCTCACAGCTGCTCCTCTGAGTGGCATGCCAGGCTGAAGTGTAGATGTGGTCCGTCCTGCTTCTCTGCAGAACACAAAGATGACATCTCTGTCAAGGAGTCGTTCCCAACCTAAACACAGACCAGATCAGAACAGGCTTTCTAGAAATGTCTAAAGGAGGAAAGAAAGGAAGGATGGGGGAGGAAGAGGATGAGGAGGGGAGAAGACAGAGGGAGAGCATTCAGGCTAAAGCCTTCCACACATGATCCACAGTTCCACAAGGCAATCCACCAACCGTGACAATGGGCACCGTCGTCACACTTAGGGTGGAAAGAGATGAGAGGAATCGACTGGAAGGAATTTCAGATGCAGATGATGTATGAACTCTCAGCCTAGGCACAGCTTGGTTCCTAGCCCCAGTCCTGGTGGATCCTGTGTCTGAAGACATCAGTCATACGCCCTGTGTGTGCCACCTTGACAATAGAAGCAGCAGGGAGGTTGATGTCAAAGCCCCAACTAGCTGCCATCCACTAGGCTCAGGTGACAAGGAGCTTTCCATCTGACGATTTCCTATTCGGGAACAGTTTAACAAGATTCTGCAGTCGTCAGGAACATAAAGAGGAACAGATCTTTATAAATAACTCTTGATTAAAATGGAGCTGAAAATAGGGAGACAGAACAGGAGGCAAATTGCTAAGCACTTACTGAGTCGATAACATTGGCTTGGAGATCTTAGTGCAGATGGCTGGTCTGGTTTATTTCCTTCTTGTCAAAGGTTAAATGCTGGAACCTAGAGGCACCAAGGCTGTGTGTGTCCGAGGACTGTTTCAAGGGGGCATGGCTCTCAGCTACTGGAGTCTTGGGGTGATGCTAACAAGGGCCTTGATTAGATATCCCTGAAGCCTTTTGGGTTCAGTCAGGTAGACCAGGACACTTGGCCACTGTTTGTTCCCTAGAAGGGCTAGCCTCTGAGCCCTGAGATTTTAGATGGTGATTCGTGGCTGAGTCCCTGGTATGAAACTTGGGCAGCCAAATGTCCAAATGAGACCTGGACTGTGCTCTCTCCTGTTAAGTGAATATCTTACCCACTAGTCTATTATCAGCAGGGCCTGACTGAGCTGCAAGCCGGCCACTATAGTTTGTGTTCTCTGGGAAGTTGAAACTGAGTGAAAATGTGCTTATGAGGTCCTGATCTTGGAGAGCAGCCCAGCAGCTAAATGGAGGCACAGGATGGAGATTCAGGATAGAGCTGACTTTGCATGGGTTCTGTCCTCCCCAGGACCCAAACACAAACCCTAAAACCTTAGGGAGCAACAATGTCAGGGCCAGGGAGTCCTGGAGGGAGACAGATGGAAGCTGAGACCCCGTGATGGGTCTGTGTCAGCCGTAATTACAGGTGCCTGTGTGTACATGGAGGATGCCGCGGCTGTGCAAGTGAAGGAAGGCGAAGATCTCAGAGGGCATGGCGTGGAAGCCGGGCTTGGGCTTGACGTTGTCATAGTAGTGGTGCGTAATGTGGAAGCCTGAGGGATTCATGGGGAAGGCCCAGAAGCCGAACAGGTGCACCTCCTCACAGAGCTCCAGCGCTGCGGTGACCAGGATGAGGCCGGTGCTAATTCGCTTTGCGCGTACACCCAGGCTGAGCCAGTAGCGCGACACACTTGACAGGTACAATGGGTGGAAGAAGTAGACCTGCTGCTGTGAGCCGAAGTCATCCAACAGGTACTTGACGCGGAAGGACACGAGGGTATTGCGTACGGTGTAGAACGCGGGCAGCAGCACCGAGGCATTCTTGTATATCTGCAGCACTTTGAAGAAGGGCCTCCGCCACTTCTCCAGCTTGTGGAACCTGCAGGGTGGCAGAGTGAGCAGCAGCAAGTCCTGTGCACCCTCCAGCCCACCCTCCCCATCTCATCCCCTGCCTCAGCCCCACCCTCACTCTAACACCACCCCTACCCCTCACCTCCCACCTCTCACTCCCTTCCCCTCCAGGCTCACAAAGCTTCCTATATTCCCCTCTTCTGCTTCCCTGTCCTATCTTTACATATTTATTATCTGTTTGTTTGTTTGCTTGCTTGTTTATTCATGGAGGGGGGGCGCGTGCCACAGAGCATGCGTGTGAAGGTCAGAGGACAGCCTGCCAGAATTTCTCCTTCCATCATCATGTGGGCCCTTGCTGTGGAATAACACAACTGTGTTATTGTACACTGTGAAGAAGTATCACTCTGCTTTAATAAAAAACTGAATGGCCAATAGCTAGGCAGGATTTCCTGACACAGAAGATGCTGGGAAGAAGGGTGGAGTTGCAAGGAGGTGAGGAGGAAGCATGACATGTTGGGGATGAGGTAACAAGCCATGAGCCTCAGGACAGCACACAGATTAATAGAAGTGGGTTAGTTTAAGCTTTAAGAGCTAGCTAAAAACAAGCCTAAGCTATTGGTTGAGCTTTCACAATTAATAATATGTCTCTGTATTGTAATTTGGGAGCTGCCTAGTGGGACAGAGAAAGACTTGCACAAATGCCAACCAACATGGGGCACATATATTCACATAAGACCTGAGAAAGCTTTTAAAAAGGTTCCAATACACGAAATCAGAGCCAAACACGGCTTCCTAGTCATGCAGTCTCTCATGCAGCCACAGTAGAGAGAAGCATCTCCCGGTGGCTGCCTGCGGGCTTGAGACACCGCGTACCATGAGCTAAGCTGAGTAGTGGTGTAAGTTTAGCTCATGCAGACAGAAAAGGTTACAGACACCCAGTAAAGCAGGTTCAGACAGGAGAAAACCTCTAAATAAGTTACAGTGTGTTAAAGTCTGTAAAGAAAAAATAAAATAACATAAAAGGGAGAGCCATGTAAAAATGGAAAGTATGCAGAGTCTGGATCCTGCACGGTGTTGTATTGATTTTAAATGTTTTGATTACTGACGAGCAAACAACAGCTGAGAGACACTGGATTATAAAAACTAAATTAAAGCAACATATTTTCAAAGTGTCAACTTCAAAATGGGAGTCAAAAATATATTGGGTAAGAGGTTATGCTTTTGTTCCCACAGGAAATGAGACTGTAGATTCATTCAAGGTTGGTAGATATCAGGTTTGATCAAAGAAGACGCCCCTGAAAATCCTGGCTGCAGACAAAAGAAATAAATCTAGAAAACCTACAAGACAGATTACATATATTTTACCTCCTCAAACATAAAACAAAAAAATCATCTTTGGTTGGCTTGTGTACAACACACAGTCCACACTTGTGTTACTGCAGGTAGGTATGTTACCTTTGAAAGTCTGTGTGTTTGCAGAGCATGGGGACTAATGAAAACAGGTGTCCCAGAGATTAGGCCTCTCAGCATGCCTCTGCCGTAGTTTCCTCAGAGTTCTGAACCCAGAGCAGCTTCAAGGATGCTAGCTGAGATGGTCCAGCCTCACATATTGTTCTAGTACTTTCCCAGTGCACAGAGACTGGACAACAAATGTTAGAACTAGTTTTCCCAGGACTTGGCCATTATCTCAATTTTCTCAGATTCCCTAAAGATGCCTTCATCCACAGACAACAGGAAGCAATCTGGAGAATACAACACCCATATTCCCAAGAGATGGGGTGGGTGGTTTTTGGTTATTTAATGGGTTATGGATTTTGTCATTGTTTAGGGAGAGGGATATACAAGTATAGGACTAAAAGACAACTATTAACATCAAGTGTTTTACGTTAATATGGATTTTGGTATATTGATACAAATTTATCTTTGTTATACTGAATGTATGTTTCTACTCTTGTTTGTAGTAATGTGCTTATGCAGCTCTTTAAAATATAATGTACAATTTAAAAAATACAGGTTAGTAGTTAGTCATTTGTAATAATCAAACTTGTAGACATTGTTAGGCATATTTTCAAAGTTAAGCAGATAGACTTTAAATACTTCAAACACATCAAAGACCTACAGAATGTGGCACTTAAGATGTTTTGATAACATAAGGCTTTTTGTGACAGTGAGACACACCTGTTCCTGGCAGCACCAATTTACTTCAGAAAAAGATGTCAAGCATTGGTGATACTCCAACTGGAGTTTACTCTCTTTGTGGCAAAGCTAGCCATTTGGGCAAGAAACTGCCCTTGCCTTGACTGTTGGCAGTGTGCTACCAACTGAACAAGCATGACACAAAAACAAAGGTGACTGCCCAACTCTGCCAAGTCAAGGGAAATCAGCCCTTCAAAATCCCTCTTTACAAAAAAGTCTGTCGGGCCCATAGGCTGAAGAGGAATGTCCAATGTTACAGAGGAACCTTGGGTGACTGTCCAGGCAGACAGATATCTCTGTCTTTTTCAAGTGGTTTATACTGTATTTTCTGTTATATTCTGATAATATAATATCTTTCTAGGGTCTGTAATGGAATTGAATACTAGATAGTTTTCTTTAGTTATGATAGAAGATAAATTATTTACAAAACTTTGGAGTCATCAAGAAAGTACAGATAATGGAGCATTTTCTCTAAATTTTCAAACTACAAATGGACTGGGCATTGTAAATGTAATTCTTACTTGATAAATGTTCTTATTATATATAGTTTCATTTGTAAAGTTAATACCTTTCCTTCCTATTTAGACAGTACCTAATATTTTTTCTTATTGTATATAATTTTACTATGTTAGAGTTAAAAACCTTTCCTTTTTATTTAGACAAAAAGGGGGAAATGTGGAATAATCTTTTTATACACTATGAAGAAGTGTCACTCTTATTGGCTTAATAAGAAACTGAACATGCAATAGCTAGGCAGGATTTCCAGGCACAGAGGATGCTGAGAAGAAGAAGGGCATGCCACAAGGAGATGGGGAGGAAACATGATCTCTAGGAGATGAAGTAACAAGCCATGAGCCTCAGGACAACACACAGATTAATAGGAATCGGTTAACAACTTGTAAGAGCTGGCTAAAATCAATCCTAAGCTGTTGGCCAAGCTTTCATATTAATAACAAGTTTCCATGTCGTGATTTGGGAGCTGGCTGCTGGGACAGAGAAAGACTCAATATAGGCCCTGGATTTGAACTCAGGTTGACAAAATGAGCAACCAGAACCTTTACCACTAAGCCATCTCATGACTCCCAGGAGCATGGCCTTTCTCGAAGATGTTTTGTTTTGGTAAATGGGCACCGGAAAGGAGACAATATGAGCCGAATTACTAGTGTGGGGCTACAGAGAGACAGTAGCACTCAACTTAGAAGATGAGGGAAGACAAAGAAGCCACAGAGGCTGTGGCTGGGTCACGGAGCCTCACATCACTCCCCTGCTGTTTTCCCTTAGACTGGGAGTGACCATCTGACCCAGCCTTCTGGTCTGGCTAGGACAGTCCTTGGTATCTTGGCTTCTGCCTACATGTCCTTTTCTGTGACCATCTGTCCCTCTGCAGCTCTCTCTGCTTTCTGAAGGCTCCTGGCTATTGGCATCTGACATAGTCTGGCAGCTCCTCTCCTTCTCCTGTCCCTCTTACCCACCCTCTAGCTAGGCTGACTATGTGCAGCTTTGGGATTTCACTGCACTAGCTCCTGCAGACCTCTCAGGCAGACCCAAAAAGAGCAGCCAAGTGAGAGTTGAGATCTTTGCCTGATCATACCCCCATATCTGGACACGGCCTGCCCCCAGCCCACCTGAAGGGTCCCTGACCACCTCTAGGTAACAGCTGCTCAGACCTGTACTGCCCGAAAGAAACACAACGCAGACCCCATGTATTGAATTAATAAGAAACGAGGGAAGTTATTAAAAATAATTTTCATATTTTATTTACCCAAATATAAGAATACTGTCATTTTAGCATGTGATTAATATAAAAATCAACAAGATCTGCCAACTTACTCTGTATTAAATCTCTGACACCCAATGAGTGCTTCACGTAGACAGTTGGCACGTCTCAATCAGGACCAATCATATTCCCAGCCCAGTGCCCAGTATTTGTAGGTGACTGGTGGCCACAAAAAAAGAGCACAGGTCTCGAAAAGAGGACCACTGACCTGTCAATGATAATGCTGGGGTTCACGGTGACTACATCTGTCTTCTCTCCCACATCTGTGGCATATTCCCCTGAGATGGGGGGCAGGTTGCACCTGCAGAGAGACAGCCTCACACAGTTAAGTGGTCAGTCATCTTCAGGTGGCTGGGAAACAGGAGGGGAAGGGAAGGATGTGGTTATAGGTCAGAGAGAAGCTGAGGCCTCCTGCTGGGCAGGATATCTATGGCTGGCTAAAAAGCAAAGGCTCTTCAGACCTTTATCAGAGCAGAAGAGCAAAAAACTCCAATCTTGGTCTCACTGAAGTTACAACCATGGAGATATTGAAACTATCACCAGAAACATGTCCTTGAAAGCTGAGGTCGTCCCTGGGTCTCTGGTGACATTAAGCAGAGAGGTACAGAGGGACTCAAGGCTACTCTGAGGAAGCTTGAGCTAAGGGCAGGAATTAGCAAAAGTCCCTGTGGGATATTCAAAGACACCTTTGAAAGTGTGACACTGAGGTACAAAGTTGCAGAAGTATTGCCTGCTGAAAGCCCCCAAGGTAGGAATGTGGGGTCACCATGGCAACAAAACCCTAACCTCTAAAGCTGGGTAACATGTGCCTTAATTAGCAGAAGGGACTCTGCAGCTGAGAATATGCTAGGATCCTGAGATAGGAAGGTAACTGAATTATCCAGGTAGTTCAGGGAAGTCACAAGAGCCTTTACAAAGAACATTGATGACAAGGAAGGTGTTTTAGTCTGCTAGTCAGGGTTCTTTAGAGGAAGAGAACAGATAGGTGGGCAGATAGATAGACAGACAGACAGATACATACATACATACATACATACACACATACATACATAATTAGATTTTATTAGAATGGCTTACAGGTTGTGGTCCAGCTAGCCTTGGTGAGTGGACCTAAGAGAGAGACCTCAAGAAACATTGTGGCAACTTCTTCATGTAACCATGTTTCTTGGCGTCCTCCCACATTAGCATAAGTTCAGAACCAGTATCCCATAGACCTGGCAAATCTGATTGCTTCCTTTCCCCCAGTGAACAGTTACCCTTGCAAAAGGCAGCAGGTGCCTAACAAGCAAAGCAAGGATCCCCACATGAAAAGAGGGGCATGCCGCATAAGACGGGAGAAAGACCCCTCCCCAGCTCAGTTAGAGCCCAGCTGAGGTCACAGGCGTCCCTCCTCCCACCAGTGTTTGTGGAAGGCGACGGTCCATGTAGGGAGTGAGGCTTTGGGTTCACTGTCAGTTCTATAGGGATGTTAGTTTTAGGGTCTCCAGTCCAGAGTACTATTAGCTCTTCACATGGCCCACCTCCGTTTTGAAAACTGGAAACTAGGGCCTCAGAGTCCAACAACCTGTTTGAAGGCATAGGGCTAGAGGGGTAAGAGGCCCCCAAATCATGAGGGTGTGCTCAAGGGGGCAGCAGGACACAGGAACGGGGGCGATGTGGGGGAAGGACTGCGAGAGGAGGGCCATGCAGGCAGCAGATGCATCTCCCTCACCGGAAGACAAAGTCGGCACTGTTGATCTCCTTCCCACAGCCACTGTCCTTCAAGATGCCTCCGTTCCCCACCACAGCACACTTCTTAAACTGAGATCGGTAGTAGGGCATTTCCTGGAGAGGTACATGCATGGTGACAAAGTCAATGCCACCCCACCTTCATTTAGGCTCCACCTCTGCCCCCAAAATATCCCATCTATGAGTTTTACCCAACGAGGCAGCCTTGTCTGGAATGTGAGAGAAAAGAGAAGTCAACTTGAGGAGGAGGAGGCAGGAGAGACTTGCCCCCAGCATCCACCAGACAACTAGTCTCTGAAGATACCACACTGCATCAGGAATTGGGCTCAATCAAGAGGAGCTGTCACACTTGAGTCTGTGAGTGACCCACTTTCCCTGTGAGGACAGGTTCAGGGTACCAGGGCAGGCAGGGCACTGGGGCCTCAAAGTCAATAGGGGGAGAGACAGAAGGAGTTACAGTAGCCTTAGGAAAAGTCATTGGAGTTTCTTGTGTTTCCCTTGAATATGTCCTAAACATGTATATATAAAGAACTGTCTGAAAAACAGTCATTTCTAGGCTCCTTCCAATAGCCACAGAATCAGAACCTCTGGGTAGGCAAGAGGCTGGAAAGCAAACTCTTTAAAACCTCAGAGACACCGCTATGCTAAGGGAAGCTCTTGTGTGCCATGACTCAGGGACTGCAAAATCATAGCCATGGGCCACATCTAGTCTACCACCTGTTTTTGTATGGCCAGCAAGCTGAGAGTAGCATTTTTATTTTAAATGGTCCGAAGCTACTCAAATGAGACATGTGACCTGTCTTTCTGATGTCTGTGCCACTGGGACGAAGCCTCTTTCTTCAGTTTACTCATGATCATGACCACTTTCATGCTGGGACCATGGTGATAAGTGGTGATGATATGACCTACAAGGCTATTTACTGTCCAGCCCTTTACAGAAAAAGGTGTAGGAACCCTGCCATAGCTCCCGACCTCAGCAACGCATGCCCTGGCTCTCCAAGGACCCGCAGGTCATCCCAGGCTACGTCACATGCTTCTGTGACCTGCTTAAGATGAAAGTTTATCTGGTACCCACCTTGAAAGGCTCACCTAGGGAAGGTGGATTGACACTAGCACTGTGCTGTACCTTCAGCTCATTTCCTGAGCCCAAGTCTTGCCAGATCACTCTTGCATCGGCAATAGGACATACAGAGAGACTCTGGTTTTATCTTGTCAGCACCTCTCTTGACCCACCAAAACATGCAGAGAATCCCAAAGCTCTCCTTCCAGAACATAGCCATGAACACACCCTTGCCACCTGCCTCTCTGACAAAACCACACCACCCCAACATCACACAAGCCCCCGAGCCAGCCAAAAGTACAATTTCTGCATCCCTTTCCCCAAGAGTCCAGAACTTGGATCTGCACCAGCTCTCAACCTTGGTGATCTGAACGGATCATGGATGGGGGCCCCTTACTCTGTAGCCCATGGGCAGGGAGCTACTATGCTATCACTGACCAGCCCACCTTCATACAATATCTCTGATATCGTAGATGCATTATGAGCCAAACCTATAACTGCACTGGAACCCTATTCTTTCTTTCTTTCTTTCTTTCTTTCTTTCTTTCTTTTTCTTTTTTGGAGACAGGGTTTCTCTGTGTAGCATTGGATCTTCTCCTGTCACTCTGTAGACCAGGCTGGCCTCAAACTCATGGAGATCCACTTGCAGACACTGAGTCTCTAAAGAGAGAAAAACATCACCCAAGTGCTACACCAACAACTGGCCAGGTGAGATGTGCCCACCAGAACGGTAGTGGCAAGTCTGTTGTGGAGAAAATTAGCCATGTTCTAACTGGAACTGAGTCCCACTGCACAGAAGAGAATTCGCATTTCATACTATAAACTTGGTCAAAAGCTCATGGTTGGGGAGGTCTGAAGGCCTAGTGAGGAACCCATAGCTGTTGATATACTAATACTGAATGGACTTGATATGCCCATCAAATTGCCTTCTAATAATTATATGTATCCCTAAGTGTCAGGGCCAGCTTTGCTCAGAGCTGTTTCTTTTGCAGTAGACAGGGTGCGAAGCTGCTTTTGCAGTGGGCAGTGTGTGTAGTTGCAGATATTAATAACAGACAAAGTGCTGAGAATAAGTGACAATTTATGACATACATAAATGGGACATTGCACATCACCTTCTCCAAGGCTCAGGGTACATTGTGGAAAGGAGAGAGGGCACAATGAAAGAGTCATAGGATAGGGTAGAGTGTGGTGGAAGGCTGTCTGGGCATCTGGGCAAGGTTTGATGGTGGCACTCTTGAATTCACAGTAGCTGTTATTACCACCTGAGATTGGACCAGTCAACATGCTGTCATGGAATGGGGGTGCACTTATGATTCCCAGCTCTTCTGAGGATCTATAGATAATTAATGGTTGCTAGGGAGGCAGAGACATTTCCTTCAGCAGTGTGCTCATGGGGAAGTTGCCCGTGTTCCTGTAAGCAACCCCAATAGAATCCTATGAGTTCCTGAAGAAAATCGAATGAGAGGGGACTAGTTGGGAAGGGGAAGGGCATGGGAAGAGAACAAGAGAAGGTGGCAGTGGTGGGAGTGGTAGGAATATGATCAAAATACCTATAGCCATGTGTGAAATGGCATAATAAAATCAATCGCTATGCATAAATAATCCACGCTAAGAAAAGGCATTCTTACACAATGACCCCAAGGTTATGTGATGTGGCTGACATTCAGGGCTGACTGTCCTGGGCCTGCTTTCTGATGTTCGTATGCCTTGTGTGTGTTTTTCTCTTATGCCTGCCTTGGGTGAATGATCAAGCATTCTAGATAGCTGTGGAATGCCCTCAGCACACGACAGCAGAGGCAGAATTGTAACCTCTTTTTGCCCCAAGTCATATAAACCACAGCTAGTTGGCATTGGCCACCAGTTCCCTCCCAGACCACACGTGGGGGCATACCTTGGGAAACATATGGAAGATCTCCTGATCAATGTGATAGAAACCACTGGAGTCCACCTCATACCTGAGATTCGTCTCTACTGGAGTGTTCTTCTGGGTGGTGAAGAGGAAGACAGGGGCGTTGCAGCACCTGGACAAGGTGGACCTGCCAGGCATGGAGACAGGGGTGACACGGGGCGAGCACAGAGGGACCTCCCTTTCCATCCCATTCCCATACTCACTTCCTACCCACCCTCCGCATCCTCTGGCACCTGTCTCTCTAGGGCCCAGGAAAGTTCCAGCTGTCATACTTCCGTGATGGCTATGGTACAGACTAACCACATACAGAAAGTGGAACATGGTTCCTGAGAGACAGTTCCGGAATTCAGTATAGAACGAAAAGGAGGGGGAAGAGGGAGGGAAGGAGGGAGAGAGGAAAGAAGGGAGGGAGGGAAGGAGGGAGGGAGGGAGGAAGTGAAGGAGGGGGAGGGGAGAGGGAGGGTAGGAGGGAGGGAGGGAGAAAGGGAAGGAGGAAGGAAGGAAGGAAGGAAGGAAGGAAGGAAGGAAGGAAGGAAGGAAGAAGGAAGGAGAATCCTGACAGTTTTGTCTCAGAAACACTCAAAGCAGAGCTGCAGAGGGGTTAAAGCTCAGACACTAGATTTAAAAAAAAAAAGCTCCAGAGGAACGGGGCTACTGAAGCAACCTGCTTTTCTCTCTGCTCCAGGACTTTCCAAGAAACCTTTTGAAGGGTGAGATCCTGGGCAATCTTGCCCCCTGTTTGGAAACTTAGGCTCTGGCTGTAGCCCTGGGCACAGATCACTGCCTCCTTGAGCTGGACTAGAGTACATACAGCTCCAGGATCAATGCCCCCACCCCACCCTGCAGTTTCCAGGGAACCCTGAGGGATGGACCTCTCTCTCTCTCTCTCTCTCTCTCTCTCTCTCTCTCTCTCTCTCTCTCTCTCTCTCTCTCTCTCTCTCTCTCTCTCTCTCACACACACACACACACACACACACACACACACACACACACTCCCACCCCTAGCAGGCCCAGGAGGCATCTGGAGTACACACAGCTCCAGGAAGTCTGGGGGATGGACCACCTTCTCCATAGAGCCATATGATGGCCAGGGACAGGTCAAGAGGAGGTCTGGAGTGTTCTCATGAGCTTTGGGGTGGAAATATGAGTTGACACCTAGCATCCAGAGGCCTGGCCTCTGTTTTTTGCTGTTTCCAGCACCTGTGGGCCCCAGTAGGGTGTCTTTCCACTCTGGGCCTCAGATTCTTCATGTATAAAATGCAGAGGTGGCTCTTCTGTTTCTGACCCTCTATAATTCAGTGCCTCCAACTTGTCCAAGCCAAAAGGCTAAATGTAAAGGTTATGATTTCACATCTTGGTGAAAAATCTTCACTGGGGCACTAGGCTGGCTATTAGTCATAAAGTAGTGGAGAATTGGATTTTAGAATATGACTAAAGCTTCCAAAGGAAGGCTGAAGCCTGGCAAGTGAGAGGCCACAGGTCAGCATCATAAACCATCATTATTATAATTATAATTATAAGCCAGACCTTTTAGCTCTGCAAATGCAGAAACAGTCTTGGCTGCCAACTAGAGAACACCCCATGTGAAACAAGCTGGCTACTGTATAAACCAGAATGGTAAGTGTGCAGACAGGAGGATGGAGCCAGCTGCTGTTGCAGGTCCTCTCCTGTACCTGAAACACCAGCATCTCACTCCTGCACTGACTCAGGTTCCTGCCAACCTAGATGGAGAGGCTCTCCGTTTTCCAGAAGTTTCAAGTGAGAGGCAACCGATGGTCCTGAGAGCTCTCTGTTCAGAACACAGCAAGATCCAACATCACCTTCTTTCCCAACACCTAAACCCACCTCACATCCCTCAACCGAGAGAGCTTCCGCTCCCACAGGGCTCTCTGTTGCCCACAGCCTCACCTCATAGAGCTGTCTCGCAAATGGAGCTCTGTATTTCTCTTGATAAATCATCTCCGGCCATGTAAGCATTGTTTTAGTTGAAAGCCCCCCTCCCCCGCTGCCTTGAGACCTCTGTTCCAACTCAGCCTGACCCACATCCTTGCACACCTCACTGGCTTGTTCTACGAATCAGCTTCCATGTGGTCAAGCCTCCCCTGCCCTGGGGACATCTAGAAGGAAGAGCATGAAAGTCATACTTCAGGGGGGGAAGATCCTGGGTCTGTTTGGCACACTCTGGCACTTTGCCCAGGCCCACTAGAACATTCCAGGCAGGCAGGTCTCCTCCAACCAGGGCTAGGATTCTGCAGGTCCACTGAGGCTTCTCATTATACCAAATAGCTATATTTCGAAACATGTGCTGCTTCATGCTACTATCCCCAGACACATGTCAACTCAGCACATGGGAGTTAGGAGCAGGATTGGGAGTTTGAAGCCAGCCTAGGCCACACAGTTAGACCCTGTCCAGAGAGAGAAAGAGAGAGGAAGGTAAGAAGGGAACAGGGGAGAGGAGATGAGAAGGGAGGTGGGGAGAAGAGAGCAGCAGAGCAAACTTCCTGGCCTAGAATCCCAAACTGAAGAAAGCATTGATAAAGAAAATACAAGTGCTTGGTGATACCCGCTCTCTCTCTACAGCTGCCTGTGTAGGATTCCTTCATGTGAGTAGCTCCTCAGTACATTTAAACTTGAACCTGGGTGACTGAAACCCAGTTTAGACACCAGCTGCCAGGACCACATCAATTTCCTAGTGGAAGGTCTACCTGCCCTGGAATGATACCGCAAGCTGGCAGGAGGCTAGCAATGGAGAAAACCCCAAAGCTCATCACTAAAGGAAAAGCAGTTTTGGATGCCCTGCATCGGCTTGGTTCCCTTGAGAACCTGGAAATATGGCTACTACCTCTCCCAGAGCTTACTATCTGTTAATTGTGGTTAGAGAGCAATTCAAACACTCAACAGCCAGGCTAGGACATCAGACAGAATCATAATAAACATAGGGGCTCCAGGAAGGTGGGTAGAGCCACTGTCCCAGGATGGGGAGGTAGGGACAATAAGACTGTGAGGGCTGTGGAAGAACCTTAAGCAAATACCTCACTCCTAGGAGCCTTAGTGCACACCAGCGTGAGCTAGATGTGACAGCCCAACCTTGTAAGGCTGCAGCAAAGACCGCAGCAAAGCAGGGAGGTCACTAGCTGACCAGGTGCTGGCCTTGTCACTGTTCATATTCCTAAGGCCCTTAGGGCCCACTCCAGGCAGGCGCCCACTGAGAAGCAGGTGTCAGAGATGATGGCTATCTGAAGAGGTGCGGTGGGGACCCGCACACGAGGAGGGACGGCAGAGGACCATGCATACTTGAACAGGCTGGCTTCGGAACTGTCCATTGCCCACTTGCATATCTGGAGGCTCTTCCATCTGTCAAACAGGTCAGACTGCTTCACCCTGTGGGAGCAACGGACAGAGAGCACATGAGAAGGTCAGACTGCACCGTGTGTGTGTGTATGTGTGTGTGTGTGTGTGTGTGTGTGTGTGTGTGTCTGTGTGTCTGTGTGTCTGTGTGTGTGTCTGTGTCTGTGTGTGTGTCTGTGTCTGTGTGTGTGTCTGTGTGTGTGTGTGTGCGTGTGTTGTCCCTGTTTCCAAAGATCTGCCCCTCCCCCTCCGTGTCTGCCATATCAGCAGCTAGTATGCTGCTTCCCTTTTTCTTGATGTGAGGGTAATTCCTGAGGGAAGTGCAGAAAGCCAAGAGCTGCCCTTCGTGTGCAAACTGTACAGTTAGCCATCCCTTAGCCAACCAGCCACTGTCTCCTATTCTAATCTTTCCTGAACTAGGCATCAGACCTGAGCCTTAGAGTCAGCTCATATTCAAACTAGCTGACCCTAAGCTAAGCTCCCAAAGATCTCACCCAGGCTTGCCCCTCACTCTCACCTCTGCTGGGCATGGAACTCCACCCTACCCCACCTGGTGTGGCCCTGCATGTGTGGCATGTTTCCTGTTTCTAGGAGTCTGCAAGTTTAAAGTCTCCCATGTCCAGATGTGGCAGTGCACACCTCTAATCCCTTGCACTGAATCCCACAAAAGAATTAGTATATAAATTATAAATTAATCATTACATATTTATTGTAGTACATTCTGGTAAAGTCTCGGTACTGGCAAATGTAGACCCTTGATAAATGTGGTTGGTTTGTTGAATGAATGAATGAATGAATGAGTGAATGAACTAAATCAAAACTGAAAATGAAGGAGCTGAGTATTGTGGTTACACATACTTATTACCTTAGCACTTGGAAGTCTACATAAGGGGTTTTCAGATTTGAACACAGCATCACCCTATATGCATGGAGATCCCAGACCGACAATGAAGACATGTTAGAAATGTAGATGGCCTTGTCTGGGAGTGGTAAATAGTATGGGACTAGGAACATGACTGTCAGAAGGAGTTTCTCCAGGTGGGGAACTCATGTAAAGGTGAGTCACATGACTATCTTGGAAAAGTGTAGCTCAATCAGAGTGAGTACCAAGGCTCTGAGGCAGGAGCATGCTTGGTAGTTAAAGGAGCCCTCTCCTCCTGCAGAAAGCAAGCTGACCTTGCAGCTTTTCCAAACCTCCCACAGTAGCCCCATCCCCCAGCCCACGGGACATCAGAGAGTAGGTGCTGTCACACTAAGCGCTCTGGCTCACCCTCTGCTCCTCTCCCCCTTACATCCCTACAGTTCACAGCCCCTGGAGCAGGATCCACTACTGACTCGAATACTTCAGAGAAACACAGCTCTGCTAACACTTCAGACCAGGGGCCCAAAGTTTGACCCAGTGTACAGACCTTATTCTGAATGTTTCCTGTGCCCTTGTCACATCCTGGACCAAGGTCATGGCTAGACACCCAGCCTTAAATCCTGGCTCCATGCCCAGTGCACATCTTGACCTGGGTAAGCTTAATCTCTAGGGAGACTCGGCCGCTTTGTCTGGGAGATGGCTCTTGCACCCTCGGCCCTGCTCAAAGGTTGTTCGAGAGAGCAAATGGGGTCACATGTATAAAAGTGTACTATAGGTTGCTGTACTGATGCAGAGCCATCCTCACATTGAAGATGAAGGACTCACCCAAACCATCTCTCCTTTCTCTGGAGACATCACTGACAGACATTCCAGAAGAGAAGAAAAATATCATTCAGTCTTGCCAGAATAAACAGTGACAGGGAGGGTTATCTCTGTGGAAAACAACTCTCAACAGGTCCACAGAAAGAGGAGGGGCTGAGTCAAGGACAAGATGACAAAGTCCCCTCCCTCAAAAAATTCTAAAACCAGGAGCAGTGGGCAGGGACATGGCCTTAAAAACGAGAATCAGTTGTAAGTGACCATGAGCCGTGAAGGAGGGGCTGGAGCTCAGTGTTAGAGTACATGCCTAGACCTCCTTCTCTCCCCATCCCCACCAGGACTGAAGAAAAAGCGAAATAAAGAAACAAAACCATCCAGTCCAATACACACCCGCAGCTTCCTCAACCAAATAATTGGTGTCCGATGAAGGGAGCAAAGGGAGGTCAGACAGCCCTTCCTTTCTAAAGCCCATGGTGTTCCCAGTTAAAGACATCAGCATTCTGCAGCATATCTCAAACAGCTTCAGACACAGAACCCCTACCAGCTTCTAAATGTTTTCGTTATGAACATGAACATGGTACCTAAACCTATGTGGAAGAGGCAGAACAAGATAAACCACCAGGTAAAAGGACCACAGAGAAAGCCACTGCAAAACAAGAGGCCAAAAAGACATCCCTGATGTCCCCAAAGATGTCTGTGACAATGCCACAGCCTTGACAGCCAGGCGAGGATGCTCCAAGAACAAAGCAAGGCTCTGGGCAGAGAGAGCACTAGAAGAGCTGGGAGATGACATCAAGGAGTTTTACCAAGATGGAGAAGCAAAGGGCAAAAAGAGAAAGGATGAAACTAAAAGATAAAGAGAGACCCTGTGTCAAAGAAATACACAGAAGAGCAACTGAAGAAGACACGGACATCCACACTCACACTCAGAGACAGAGAGGGAGGGAGGGGGAAAGGAGGGAGGGAGGGAGGGAGGGAGGGAGGGAGAGAGGGAGGGAGGGAGGGAGGGAGGGAGGGAGGGAGGGAGAGAGAGAGGGAGGGAGAGAGGGAGGGAGGGAGTGAAGAAAGGAGGGAGGGAGGGAGGAAGATCATTTAGACTTGGAAGGACCCAAACCCTCCCCTCTCACCCATTGCTTTCTGGGAGTCACTCGAGAAAAGGCAAAATTAAGGAGAAAATGTGAATCATTTCTGGGCTCTCAAAAAGCATAGGTAACTTTAATAGCCTTGTCTTTTGTGGTGCAGGGTCTAGATACACTGCCTGAGGTTGATAGGAAACCCATCCAGGGAAAAGCTAGAGCTAAGCATATAGCTTGGATTAGTCTGTTTTCTGTTGTTAAAACAAAATACTCAAGGCTGGGTGCTTGCAACAGAAAAGATCTATTTAGTTCATGGTGTTAGCCTCTGGCAAGGGTATCAAAAGCTATCACTGCACAAAGCAGAAAGCTTAAGGGAGTTAGGAGTTAGCTATTTAACCTCTTATAGCAACATAATACGTGTGTGTATGTGTGTGTGTGTGTGTGTGTGTGTGTGTGTGTGTGTGTGTGTTTGCGTCTGCACATGTGCATTCAGAAGCACAATATGCGTGTGTGGAGACCAGAAGCCAACATCAGCTGTCTTCCTCATACTCCACCTCATTTTTGGGGACAGGGTCTCTCACGGGATCTGGAACTCACCAATTCAGCTAGAGTATCCAGCCAGAGAGATCCAGGGGTCCTCCTGCCCCTGCCCCTCCAGCACTGGGGTTACAGGTACACACCATCACACCTAGCTCTTGTGTGGGCGCTTGTGTGAGTTTACAAATTGAACCATCTCCCCAGCCTTGCAACCCAGTCTCGAGGAAAGCCGGTCATTCTGTGACACCATCTTCAATCTCTTCTAAGGGTGATGCCCCAGTGATCTAATTGCCTTCCTCTGGGCTCACTTCTTAAAGACCAGCCCACCTCAAGCCTCCACCACATAACCCCTTGGGGGTAAACCACACCCGAACCACAGCACCCTTAAACTGGGAAGATGTGAGGAGGGATTTGGCCTGAGGGAAGGAAATGGAGTCTTCACCTACCAAAGTAGAAGATCTATGAACATGGGGGGTTCCCCAGCAGCATGCATACATTCCTGAGGAGGGTAGTGGTGCTAAACAGAAGAAACAGCTGAGAATCCAAAGGACTGGACCCAGGATGAGAAGGTTGGACCTGGATTTTCAGTGCTATATGCTCTTGTGAATTTTCTTGCCACAATGGTAATCTCACTGCCCTCTCTTGTTCTCCCATGTCTCCCTATTGTGTCTGCCCACTCTTCATTCTCATCTGCTTTCTCTGCCCTTGTTCTTTATACAAGTACTCGCTGAGTCCCTTCCGTGTCCAAGGTCCCTGAGCTCAGGGCCTGACTTCACTGAGCCCCGACAGACTTTTAAAAGCCTTCTGGATCTGAGCTTCGTGAGGCATGAAGGACATCCCAACTCAGGAAGTGGGGATTTTTGCCAGTGGCCACGGCTCCAAGCTGCTCTGTTTGGCCTCATTGCTGGACTCTGCACCAAGCCCAGCCCAGACAGGTAGGGAAGGAATCCAGGGAGGCTGGCATGGGAGTTCTCAAGCAAAACCCCCATGTGGGTGTGGACATGAGCAGCAACTGAAGGTTTGCCTTTAAAAACAGAGACACTCACACAACTAGAATCAAACATAAATTATTTGAACAAGAATCAGCAACTGACACTGTCATGATGAATAATCAGACTCGTATCTCAGGAAACAGGGCACTTTCCCTGTGGGGGTTTTCTGGCTGACTGATTTTTTACCATTGATTTGAGAAATTTTGGATCAAAATTACTCCTAAGGGAGTCACACAGCTCCTTGTGTCCTCAGACAAAATACCCACTGACACTCTGTGTGCCTGAAGGGACATGTGCGCATGCACCCAGCTGCCACCATCCACAGATGCAATTTGACCTTTTTCCTATTATTTGGGTCAGTCCTGCTGTGGTCCACATTGTGGTATGAGGCTAGAGCTTAGAAAAGTTCAAGAGAGCCCAGATAATATCAGCACTAGCTGGACAGAAGCCAGCCTCTAAGCTCTCCCATGGAGGAACCACAAACCCTCAGTTTGGGAATTACTCAGGAGGAGGGTGGGGCACTGGGCTTGCCATTCCCTGACACACCAGACTAACACAACTGATACCTGTGGATAGCCTAGTCTTGCCTTTACTCCTTCCTATACTTCCACAACTCAAGTCCCCAGACAGGACAGCTGCCACGGAAAAGTGAAGCTAAGAAAGACTGACTAAGCCTGAGGCTGCCGGATGGGATGGCTTTTCATTCCATGAATCCATCCTGAGGAACAAGACAAGGTATCCCAAAGACAGAGGTGAAACTAATGCAACTGAGGAAGGAACAAAACACCACCAAAAAAGAGCCCATGACTATGGACAAGAGTGGTCACAGGCACAGGGAAATGCGACATTGCTCTTTACATCCCAAGTATTTGTAGGTTCAGTCCAAAATACCCTGACTGCATTTGGAGAAGGGGTCTTTAGAGTCAAAGCTAGGGGGGAATGAAGTCACTGGGGTGGGCCTGGTCCAGTACAACTGGTGTTCTTCTAAGAAGAGAGCGAGACACAAGACACGGAGTGACACAGTGAAGACGCGGCCTTGAGCAGGCCAGGAAGGGAGGCCCTATGACTCCCACTCTTCATTTGCCTGCCTCCAGGACAAGGAGGAAGAAAACAACTCACCTGGGGTTGAAGAGATGGCAAGCGTGAAGAGTGGAGTTCGGATCCCCAGACTTCACTTAAAATGCTGGGTAGGCATGGTGGCCTGCCTATAATTCCAGCTCGAAGGCTAAGACAGAGGATTCCGACTGCACACCAGCTAGCAAGATTAGCCGTATCATTGAGTTCTGGGTTTGACTGAGACCCCGCCTCAATAAAGCGGATGGGAGAGCAATGGAGGGTGATTCTTGACATCAACATCTAGCCTCCAATGCATGCATACACACATACAAAAAAAATGGAAAAAGAAAAGAAACTAAATGACTTGATAATGGAATTTGGTGGTGGTGGCTCCAGAAAATTGATGTAGGCATCAACAACAATACGCAGAAAATCTGTAGGAAGACGGATGGGAAGTTGTGAAGACAGTCGTCAGTACATGTGCTTCCTCGGCACTTCCTGTCCAGACCTTGATGTACCCGGGAAGAAATTTTTGCTTTCTAATTGGAAAATTAACTGTTTTTCCTTTTAAAACTCGGAGGAACACTGCCAACAAGAATTCTCTGGGATCCCAGGCAAACATGTAAAGGTCGCAAATATTTTAATTCTAAGAAAAGATAAGCAGGGACCTTCTGCTTCTGAATTTAGCTCCTGCATGAGGCCTGGGTAGGCATTGTCAGGCAATTCCTTAGAAGCATTCCAAAATGTTTATCAGACCACACTCATGCATACTTCCTAAATGCTGTCCACAGGGTCCCACGGTCCTCAGAAAAAGACTCAGGTGCATCATGACCTCTGGTGCCACAGCTTCTGTTTCCTGCTCACATGCTGACTCACAAGCTACTCTGGTCCTTCAGAGCCAGGACCCAGCAGGGTCCTTCCTATCTCAAGGCTTCATATACACTGGAACTGTCCCGTTTGGGATCTTCTTGGCCTAGTTAACAACTAGGGGCTCTCTCCGCCCTTCCTCAGCAAACCCTTGCCTGGCATCACCTGCCCTAGATCAAGTTCCCCTGCTACCTTAAGAATTTATCTTTTAAGAGTGACTCACGTCTGTTTCACCACTGGGCTATGGACTCCCTGAAAGCTGTGACCACAGTAGTGTGTGCTCAGCACAGTACAAAGTAGACAGTGGGGGGGGGCTTTATTCATCTCTAGAAAGGGTACCCAGACTACTGATTATGACAGGGTCATAACCAATACAGATAACCCAACCGGGCTATCTCAAGGTCTTACTCTTGGGACATTCAGTGACTACATATGGAGTCTGCTAATTTGGATCTTACCCATCTCCTGAAGTCCTATGGGTTGAAGGCTGTTTCTCAGGGTAATAATATGGGGAGATAAGGCCATGTGGGAGTTCTCAAGGTCATTGGGACTGGTCCTTGAAGACACTGGTGGGAACCTGGTCTCTTTCTCTTTCTGCTTGGTCATGAAGACAGCAGCACTGTTCTCCCTATGATGGCATGCTGCTTCAACACAGCCACCAAAACATGGGCATGCTCACCTCCAAGTTATTACCTCATTATATACTCACTACAGTGATGGAAAGTTCACTGACACAGATTCTGTGTATAACTCAGAAAAACTGCTGTTGCCATAAGAGAAGAAATGGAAGGAAAGAGAATAGAATATCCACACCTACTGAGAGCCACTGCCACCCCAACCCCCTAGGCGATGCCTGCTATCTATGTTACAAACTATTTCCGCTACTCAGCAGCAATGCCTAAGAAGTAGGTAATGCCACCTCCACTTTATTAGTTAGGAAAGACTCAGTGAAACTAAGTAATTTGCCTGATAATTAGAGTTGACAAGACCCAGAATCAGCTTCCGGTCCTGGTCTGCCTATCCTTTCTCCAAGACCCACACTGCTTGACTTCTGGCTTCTGATCCTCATCTTTGAAATCATGTCAGGGGGCCATGAGTCCATAGAAGCATCCAACACTACCTCTGTATAAATTTGATTTTAGTTCGAGGCCAGGCTGGACCGACAACCTCCAAAACAATGCAGAGAAACCCTGTCTCGTAAAAATAAAAAATAAAAAATAAAAAAATTTTGATTTTGTCCATACCCAGATGGAATGGTTCGAAATGAATTCAGACCCTGACATAACTATGATCCAGAATCCTCTAGGGAGGGCCCCTGGATTCCTGGGAGTTGTAACAAGAAAGAGAAGACTCAAGTGAATACCCACATATGAGGCTCAAGTCTCCCTTCCACTTGCTGTAGGAGCACTGTAGGTGATGAACTCTCAGAGCAGTGTGTGTGACAGACGTGGGGACACTGTGGGTGACAGACCATGGGAGCACTGTTGGTGACGGACTGTGGGAGCATTGTGGGTGACGGACTGTGGGATGGGACGGAATAGGGGGTGCTCCTTTGCCATTTCTATAGAAATGTGTGGAAGGAATCTCCACACAGAGATGTTGTTTGTGCAGCGACACTCTGGAAGGATGTACTAGACCTTCTGGAACTAGAACTTGGTATCTATGAGAGAGATACACTTCACCACATACCATTTTTCAACACATGGATTTTCTATCACTTAAAGGATTGGCAAATCAAAACTTTCAAAGAAATTAAAATAGTAAAAGACAACATCAAGTGAGCAAGGCTTGACCCAACAATATAAAACACTGAATTTCCGGCCAAGCCTCTTGGATTTCCCCTTAACAGGAACCCTGCAATGACAGTCAAGGAGGCTGGTAACTGAGCTGGGTAGTTTCACACCCAGTCAGCAGAGGTGACCTTGCAAACCTGGCCTTTGTTGTTAAACAGCTTCCGGAGCTTTCTAATGCCAGCAGAAGCTGTAATTTTCAGACTCCAACATCTACCTTGTATTTCTGGTTTCCTCCAGTTCTGAGATCTACCTACCCACCTCCACATGCAACTTGTCCCCACTCCCAGCCCAGCACACTCACATGGATAGCACCTTCACGTCCAGGATCTCCTGCCTCAGTTCCATGCATCTCGTGGAGTTAAATTCTAAAGGCCCCTTGTAAAATTCAAAGTACCTGAGAACCAACAGAGATAACAGTTATACAGAGTAGCAGCCCAAGTTTTCTAGGACCTGCCAAGGGTCCTTCTGAGAGAAAGGACTCATCCTAGTCCAACAAACAAAGCAAACCAACCCACCCATCACAGGACCCAGCAAAGGGCTGGCTCTAGTAGGAGCAACCACACTACATTGTAAGCATGTACAGGAGAACAAAGCCCACTTCAGCCAACACTGAAAGGCAGGCACAGGTTTCATTTCAAGGCTGTGAGGGAGGAGACAGGGACGGGTGCTGTGCACTCTGATCAGACAGAGCAGGAGATTGACAGTACCCAGCAGCCAATCTGGGAGGCAGGAAGTGAGTTGTCCCATCCTTTCCCGCCCTTTTTACCTTTCTGTCACTCTTAGGACAATGTCCTACAACGCAGCCACAGGCAGGGTTGAGATGGCCACAGATTTTTCGCTTGACAAAGCATTTCCATTCCCATCTGCTTCCTTGGCTCACATGTTCATGCAGTGCTGTCTCTGAGACAAGGCTGCTTATCACAACAGCTGGTGTACCTACAGTCCTGGAGTAAGGAGTCACCTTCCAGGGCAAAAGCCAGATGATCCTTTCCCCATGGGTCTCTCCCACTCCTAAGGTGGTTCTGCAGCTGGGCATATGGAACTAGGATCATGAGGCTGTAGGGTCTACCAGACTAACCGTGGGGTCAGTGGTCTCTTGATAAATAACCCTCAAGAACTAAAGTGAAAGAAGCACATAGAGTTGTAGGGGAGAGCTCACGTACCCGAGATACTGTCCACGCCCCTTTGGGACATGGGAAAGGCGAAAGATATATAGGAGAAATAGAATCATCACAGAGCCAAAGCCAAGTGTGAGGGATGTCGGCATCCTTGCAGCATGTCTCAACACCTTTCAACCATGGCAGCAGTCACCCCACATGTATCCCATTGCCAAGCTAATGCTACAGACATGAGCGTGCTGATTTAAAAAACATAACATATACACCTTCAGCAACGTGGCAGGATACAAGATTAACTCAAAAAAAAATCAATGGTGCTGTTGTATATAGAAGATAAATGGGCTTAGAAAGAAACCAGAGAAACATCATCCTTTACAATAGCCCCAGACAACATTAAATATCTGGGGATAACACTAACCAAACAAGTAAAAGACCTGTATAGCAAGAACTTTGAGTCTTTAAAGAAAGAAGCTAAAGAAGATACCAGAAAATGTAAAGATCTCCTATGCTCTTGGATAGGTAGGATCAATGCAGTAAAAATGGCAATCTTGCCAAAAGCAATCTGCAGATTCAATGGAATCCCCATCAAAATAACCGGCACAATTCTTCACAGATCTTGAAAGAAAAATAATCAACTTTATATGGAAAAACAAAAGACCCAGGATAGCCAAAACTACCCTGTGCCATAAAAAATCTTCCGGAGGCATCACCATCCCTGACTTCAAGCTCTATTATAAAGATATAGTCCTGAAAACAGCTTGGTATTGGCACAAAAATAGATAGGTAGACCAATGGAATCGAATTGAACACCCCAACATTAACCCATACATGTATGAACACCTGATCTTTGACAAAGAAGCTAAAAATATACAATGGAAAAAAGAAAGCTGCTTCAACAAATGGTGCTGGCATAACTGGAGGCTGGCATGTAGAAGACTGCAGATAGATCCATGTCTATCACCATGCACAAAAATTAAATCCAAATGGATCAAAGACCTCAACATAAATCCAGCCACACTGAACCTCTTAGAAGAGAATGTAGGAGGTACCCTTGAGCAAATTGGTACAAGAGACTGCTTTCTCAACATAACTCCAGTAGCACAGACACTGAGACTGACAATTAATAAATGGGACCTCCTGAAACTGAGAAGCTTCTGTAAGGCAAAGGACACAATCGGCAAGACAAAAAGGCAACCCACAGATTGGGAAAAGATATTCACTAGCCCCACATCTGACAGAGGACTGATCTCCAAAATCTACAAAGAACTCAAGAAGCAAGTCTCCAAAACACCAAAGGATCCAATCAAAAAGTGGGTTACAGAACTAAATAGAGAATTCTCAGTAGAAGAGTCTAAAATGGCTTAGAGACACTTCAGAAAGTTCTCAACATCCCTATCCATCAGGGAAATGCAAATCAAAACAGCTCTGAGATACCATCTCACTCCTGTCAGAATGGCTAAAATCAAAAACTCCAATGACAGTTTATGCTGGAGAGGATGTGGAGAAAGGGGAACACTCATCCATTGCTGGTGGGAGTGCCAACTTGTACAGCCACTTTGGAAATCAGTATGGAGATTCCTCAGGAAAATGGGAATCAATCTACCACAAGACCCAGCAACTCACTCTTAGGCATATACCCAAAACATGCACATTCATACAACAAGGATGTATGTTCCACTATGTTCATAGCAGCATTATTTGCAATAGCCAGAACCTGGAAGCAACCTAGATGCCCCACAACTGAAGAGTGGATAGAGAAAATATGGTAAATTTACACAATGGAGTACTATTCAGCAGAAAAAAAACAATGGAATCTTGAAATTTGCAGGCAAATGGATGGCACTAGAAGAGACCATCCTGAGTGAGGTAACCCAGTCACAAAAAGACAAACATGGTATGTACTCACTCATATATGGATTTTAGACGTGGATCAGGAGAGTGCCAGCCTACAATACCACTGCCAGAGAGTCTGGGACACAATATGGACCCTAAGAGAGATATGCATGGTACCCCAGAGAAAGGAAATGAGCCAAGATCTCCTGAGCAGATTGGGAGCATGGGGGAGGGAAGAGGGATCTGGGAAAAGGTGAGGGCAGAAGAGAAGGGCAAAGAAGGACATGGGGGAGCAGGAAGGATGAGTCGGGGGGAAGAATAGAGGAGAGCAGGGTAAGAGAACCATAATAGAGGGAGTAATTGTAGGTTTGAGGAGAGATCTGGCACTGGTGAGATTATCAGAAATCTACAAAGATAACACCAACTGGCAAACTAAGCAATAGTGGAGAGACTACCTTAAATGCCCATCCCTGATAATGACTTTGACAACTACCTTATATGCCATCCTAGAACCTTCATCCAGTGGCAGACAGAAGCAGAGGCAGACACCACAGCTGAACTCCTGGAACCCAGTGACAGAGAGGGAGGAATGAAGAGCAGGGGGGTCAAGACCGGGCTGGTGAAGCCCATAGAAACTGCTGACCTGAACAAGGGGGAGCTCTTGGACCCCCGACTGATGACTGGTAGGCCAGCATAGGACTGATCCAGACCCCCTGAATGTGGTTGTCAGTGAAGAGGCCTACGTAATCTATGGGACCTTAGAAAGTAGATCAGTATTTATCCCTGGCATACAAATGGACGCCCCTCCCACAATGAGGGATGCTTTCTCACCCTGGACTCTTGGGGAAGTGCCTAGACCCTGCCCTGAATGAAATGACAGACTCTAGAAATCCCCATGGAAGGCCTCACCCTCCCTGGGGAATGGAGTGGGGATTGGGTAGAGAGCTGAGGGGTGGGGAGGAGGGGGATGGGGAGGAGGGAAGGGAAAGGGAGCTGGGATTGACAGGTGAAGCAAGCTTGTTGTTAATTTAAATAAATAAATAAACAAACAAACATAAATAATTGACTGTAGAGTGCTTGCCTAACATGCTCAAGGCCATGACAGTAGACAAAAAATGTTCTGTACAATGAATTGTCTCCTATTTCTAAAATCAGATGACTGTGTATCTTTATGTTATAAAAAATTAGACAGAGTTCATAAGAACTAGGAATTGAGGCTCTTCATAATATCAAACTGACTCTCCCTGTTTCCCTCTTGTTTAGAGCTCCTTTCTCTGTCTCTCACTCAGCAAACACAGCTTCAGAACCTAGGTCAACAGCCTATACCTTTGGGAACTCTCATGTGGTCCCTATCCCTGGGCTCTATACACTATCTTAATTAGAACAAATAGCATCATGTTATCATAATTTGCCTCTGTGTCTATGGCCCTTCCTAATGGTGAGCATCTGAAATATAAAAATTAAGTCCTTGTTATGTCTTTCCCATCTATGCTACAGAAACAGACATGCTAAAGACTACATTTCCCAGACTCCTTTGAGGTTAAGGCTCTGGAAACAATTTAGGTCCAACCAATCAGAAACATACTCATGAGATTGACTCCAAGCTCTCCTTGAAAAGCATGAAAAGGAATATGGAGCAGACAGGGGTGGCATGGTTCTCAGAAACTAGTCAAAGCAGCAGCTCGTGTGATGGTCCCATTTCATAATGCTGTTCCTCAGTGTGATGGCTACTCTTGGTTGTTACTGTTGTGCCAAGTTGTGAAGATCCCCAAAGACCACCAGGTAGACAGACCCACTGAACTATAAAAGCAAGGTTTTATTATTTCATCCAACCATGGCAGGGACCTCATCTAGCTGACTGACGCAGCAGCCACCAGAGGAAGTGAAGTTCCCTGTCTACTGCTAGGTTTTAAAGATAAAAGTTACAGGATTACATCAGTAATATATGAGTTAGTTTCTGATTGGTTGGCATTTGGGAACAATTAGGAGAATTTCTCAAAGTCATAGTTTGGCATGAAATACCCATGTACCAATTATTCTCATTGATCAGTGCTGAGAGGGAACTTTGCCTTGTTACTTGCAGGTGGACTGTTGTACATAGATACCAAGTGTTTTCATAACTGGAGACTACAGAGGAGTTTTTGGTGTCCCATGGAGTTTGTTTTTTTTGTGGCCAAACAGTTCCCAGGAACCTAGTATCTAGGATGCTGGGAGTGAGAGTCTAGAGTTTCTTTGTGTTCAGTTTTGGTCCTAGACTCCAGGAGGCCAGAGGATCTGGAGTTTCCTTGTGTCAGAGGCCTACATGTCTTTTCTGTAGCCTGTTATGGCTGCTAAAGCAGTGGGCTGAGTGAGGGTCTGTTCCCTTCAATTACCTGACTATATCTGGAATTAACTAAACAATTGCCTGGGAACACCTGTGAGAGATCTTTCTTCAGTCTAATGC